ATTTCTTTAGAACGCTAATTGCTGATATTATGGAGCAAAGAAGAAGGGAGGAGACACGTAGAAATGATTTTCTCCAGTTGATGGCCGATCTGGAACGGACAGAGGGTGAAAAATTTGACATGGAAATGATCACGTCTCACGCGGTGTCGTTTTTCATCGATGGCTACGAGACTTCCAGCACTTCTTTAAGCTTCGTCGGCTTCAATTTGGCCTCTCATCCAGAAGTGCAGGAGAAATTACGCGAAGAGGTGGTGTCTGTGCTTAACAAATACGATGGTGTGATCACTTACGACGCCTTGAAAGAAATGACGTACATGGATCAGGTATTTAACGAATCACAGAGACTCCTGCCCGCTGTAGGATTTTTGGACAAGTTTTGCACGGAGGAAACCGATTTGAGAGGATCCGACGGACTCGTTTGTCACGTGCCACGTGGAATGCACATTTTGATACCCATCATGGGCTTGCAGAGAGACTCACGATATTGGGAGGATCCTGAGGTGTTCGATCCCGAAAGATTTAGCAACGAGAGAAAACATAGCATCGAGAAATATGCTTATCTTCCCTTCGGCGAGGGACCGCGAATGTGCGTGGGACAGAGAATGGCTCAGTTACAGATAAAAGCATGTTTGGCTGCGCTCCTGAGGAAGTACAGACTAGAGCTTTCTCCGAAGACGCGAGTACCATTGAAGTTGACGGGTTCGACCTTCATCAACGCTGCTGAAGGCGGCCTTTGGGCCATCATTCGACCGATTTAACTACGAGATATTAAAAAAGAATATTTTTGTTACGGATTTTTTTCTTGGTTTTGATTTTTTTTTTTTTACAATTATATGGACTTTTGTAGTGTTAGTTTCTGTAAAATTAATATTTTTAATAATATTTTTCCATTGATTTTCAATGATATTTTAATGATGAGTTGAATTTAAAATATAACAAATATTAATAAACGTTGAGAAAATATTTTATTTATTCGGAGAATTATAACCATTATGGTCTTTTATTTTTTAACTGTATAAATTAGACCTAATTTTTGTTGTTATTTTGTTTCACGTTGTACTGTGACAGAAAATTGTAATTAATGTGTTTTAAATTATTTTTTGTGTTTAGATTAGATGTTATTGCAATAAAATGATAATGTTTTAAGGGCAGACACTGTCTTGTTGATGTAACACTTATTGCGCATGATTCCGCGATGCAAATTATTAATCATGCATAACTCGTCAAGGTTGCGATATTATTAAAAGGGACGCAGAAAGATATTAATGCATATTTATGCTCATGAGTTTCAATATTCACTGTCAGTACTGACAATCTACAAGGTGTCCCATTTTAACTGACGACCTAAGTTATCTATTGGACCACACATTTTAGAGAAAAATGTTTTAGATAAAAGTTACAGAGTTTAAAGGGGATGATTTTATTAGATTTTGGGTCCGGGTTTCGTGTTGGGCTCAGTAGCGCTCAAGGTATATATTTTTTAATGGAAACCCCCATTTTTTATTGTACCATTTTTTTCTACTAATTAATTTGAACAATTTTTGTCTGAAACATTTTTTTATATTTGCCTAATATGTATTTTTTGACATATTCAAGGAAAACTTGGTAACTTTTTCGATATTTAGCTTATGATATCTCGATAATTATTTGTCAGAGGAAAAAGTGATTCAAGACTTTTTGACTTGATTTGGTCTCAAAAGAATATGCTGTTGCAATAGTACTACAACTTTTTTAAATATTTGTGTATAATGTGTATGAAAGCTCCAAGGAAATGTCCAGTAATGTGTACATATTACGCATTAAATAAGAATGTATAATTTACAAAGAATGTATATCTAATTTATATTCTTAATACACTACATAAATCAGCTATTTTGTAAAATATAATAATTGAGCTGGACATAAGTCACATTTTTTTTT